AGGAAGAAAGGACCTCAATGCCCTCAGCCTCGAAGCCGCTGCTGTGGGGCCCCCCGCCGTCTTTGCTGATTTTTCCTGCTTCGAAAATCCAGGCAGTGAAGGGCCGCAGCAGCAGCTGCCTTGCTGCTTTAAGGAAGCGCAGCTGCAGCTTGGCTTCCTCTCCCGTGTCTCCTGCTGCTGCTGCTGCTGCTGCTGGTGCTGCTGGGGCTGCGGCTGCTGCGATGTGCGCAGGCAGCAAAGGCCCGTCCGGCAGCGGCAGCTGCGTCTGCGCCACCAGCAGCAGCAGCGAAGCCAAGTTTTCAATGAGTGCCGCTGCTCGGAAGGGCGACACCGTGCTGCAGCTGCTGCTGCTGCTGCTGCTGCTGCTGGCGATGGGGCCTTCAGCAGCAGGCAGCTGCTCGTAAGGAGTTACAACACCCCACATTGGAATCCGCCGGGGCCTTTCGTCTGGCTGCTGCGCTGCTGCTGCTTTGGCCAGCAGCCGGATAAGCTTGAGGGCCCTGGCGAGCCTCGCGCGGGTTTTGCTGCTGCTCTCCTCTGCTGCTGCTGCTGCTGCTGCTGCTGCAGTGTGGGAGGGGGGGTCCTCCTGCTCTGTGAGGGGCCCCAAGAAGTCGGCTGGGAGGGCCTTGAGCTCGTCGAGGGGCCCCAGGCAGGCGGCCCAGCCTCCTGCTGCTGCTGCTGGTGCTGCTGCTGGTGCTGCTGCTGCTGCTGCTGCGTCTGGGTCTTTGGGGTCGGGCTGGGCGAAGGCCTTGGCTGCAGCAGCGACCTCCTCGCCGCCAATGCTTGCTGCTGCTGCGGCTTGGGCGTAGAGCGCTGCTGCTGCTGCTGCTGTAGCGCGGTCGTGCAGCAGCGGGAGCAGCAGGAAGCGGACAGCAGCAAGACCATAAGCAGCAAACTGCTGCGCTGCTGCCAGCTCCTGCTGCGAAGGCACGTGCCAGGCCAGCTGCTCCCCCCCCCTCTTGACCCAAAAGGGGGCCCCCCACCGCAGCAAAAAGAGCAGCCG